GCAAACCGAGCCGAACTGAGCCAAACCAAGGTGAGCTGTACTGAACCGTGCTGTGCCGTACTATGCAGTGGAAAAGCGCCATTAGACACCCACCTTAAAATAATAGAAAGACAACTTTAGTTTCAAGAGTGAAATACTTGTTAAATGTTAAATTATCTCCTCCCTTCCATTTTTGTTAACTCTAGAACCCTATTATTCGAATCACGGTCCTCAAGGTCCGAGCACTGCTGGTTTTCCAGCCTTCCTTTACCTGTGAGCCAGGTGTGAAGCCTCTGGCCAATCAGAATCAGTAATTATTAAACTAACTACCTGGGAGAACTGAAAACAAGGCCTGGATTTGGAATCGAGGTCCAGATTTGAAGAACCCTGCTCTAGAAGATGTTTTCTCAATCTGAAATGTATATTATTGTTTGAAGAAGGCATGTTGGTAATGATTCCTAGGGGTATAGCATTGCAATATGAATAATATCATGAAAGCCTATAGTCTAACAGGAACTTTATCAGATTCCATCCCAGTCATGTTTAATCATACCTTGGGCGGGTGCATAATCTTTTAAACTGAAAAAGGCACATTTACCCTATTTGTTAAGTATGGGGAAATTTAAATCCTCATATATTAAATAAGATAAAACATTCCAAATCCACTTGAAGAGCTACCTCTTGAAAGAAATAAACTGGTACCATATTTTGGCTGCACTAACAATTTGACATTACTCAATGTACTTCAAACGAAGCATCAGTTTACCTGAGAGCCTGGTTACTTAATCTAGCAGGACTTATAAAAAGATTCCATTGTTGTTACTCTATGCAGTGAACAATGAGCCCAGTGAGGCCTGGTGTGTGTTAATGATTGACACAGATGGCATACAGATAGCTGAAAATATGGGAACTGTACAGCAACCTAGTTTGTATTTCTGCCCTGCAAATATTGCATATAGTGGGGGTATTGTACATTATATTCACAAAGAAACACTGGTATGTTTCAAAAGCGTGTAACATTGTTGAGGTTTGGGATGATTTTGGGAAGTCTGGCTCATTAGCCTTTCGGTTTCTCTGTAGTGAACAAACTGCATAAAGAAACAATCTGAAGGTTCAAAGGAGTTTCTAAGTTCTGCATTTAGATGTTTGTTAGATATTGCATTGATCAGGCTTGAAGGTACAGTATTTAGGTTCAGTATTTAGCACCTCCATGGTCATAGGTTTGTGCCCTATTTTTTCTAGAATACGCCCCAGGCTTGCAGAAGCCTGTACTGGACAAAAGGTTATGCAATACAGAGGGATGACTGACGATACATTACACTGAATAACTAGTTATTAAAACTGAAATAGCCATACATGTTTGCCAGTTGACTGTTAATTAGTTTTGAAAGTGCAGAGTTTTTGGAAACGGCTTAGCTGCAGATAATTTTAAAACCTTTTAAGTGTTAAACTAGTAGCAGCCAAAGACCTGAGTGATTATCAGCTGTGATGACCATATTATTTACTGTGGGTCTAAATAACAAAATACATAAAAAAATAAAATAAAAATCACAATTAAAAACTTGAAAACCATTTGAGGAATTTTAGTCTGTACAAATGTCAACTACCTTGTCGTTATACATGTTAATCACGGCAGCTGATTTATTTTAGTCACTTTTGTTTTTCTACAAAAAATTCAAGTAAATGATACACAGAAATTAAATAAATACAGGGGATCAGACAGACCAAAAGGTATAGCCACTCCTCCTAAATGTAACATCATACAGTATTAGCATTTGACAAACAACACAAAGTCTAAGGGAAACTACTGCATACAGGGATGTTCTGTAATAGTCATAAATATGAAAAGTTAATTTAAATTGTATGAATTAATTACGAGAATTTTCATCTACTTCTTAGACATTCAGTAGTGTCCCACTTTCCGTTGTGCTGCCACGGGCATCTGGCATGTTCACTGGTGTCATTTATCACACGCCAAGTGTGTAAGGCATATACATTCTCTGGCATTCTTTTCAATTCTGGCCATTTGTTTCAGAAATGTCGACTGTGACATTAATATAGGCTTTGGTCCTTTCAACAGACAGCATTTTGTACAAGCAAGAATTTATTCCATCGTTTTTCCAGATTTTCCGAGTCCGTTCCAATAAACGCATCCTGAAAATAGAGAAATAGAGGGGAAAAATTAGCCTCCAGTTATTTAGCAGATTGCAACAGAAGCACACATACATAATACACACACCATCATTTATTAAAGGAGTGGTCTGTTTATTTAGCAAATTGCTAGCATGCCCTTATACTACAGTTAAACATACTCAGTTGCATATAAAATTATTCTATAAAGTTAGACGACCATACTATTATAGATAAATGATCTTATTTTATTATTTTGCTGACAAAGCCTCCAAAATTGACACTTAAAATGAAGGTAGCTTCTATGTGAAACTAGCAAATTTGTTAGATAAGAAATGTAAAAAATAAACTGGTTATATTTTATATACATATATATAAAATATATGTAACAGTGAATATTATTATATAATAAAATACATTTTTAAAAAGATTTCTTATTCATTATTTTAATATTAATAATAAAGCATTAATACATTTAATTATAATAATATTGTCGTGCCGAGCGAGGACGGAACGGAGACAAAGGCGCAGACGTCAGGGTATCGGGGAATACGGGGTTTAATTACAGGTAAGGCAGGCAAAATGCAGACGGACAATACAATGACCGGACTGGGGAAACAAACTGAAACGCGGATGAAATACAGAGGACTTTTAAGAACATAAGAACTATACAAACGAGAGGAGGCCATTCGGCCCATCGAGCTCGCTTGGGGAGAACTTAACAAATAGCTCAGAGTTGTTAAAATCTTATCTAGCTCTGATTTAAAGGAACCCAAGGATTCAGCTTGCACTACGTTATCAGGAAGACTATTCCATACTCTG